TAAATTATTTTTAATAGTAATTTTTTTGAAGAAATTAAACCTAATTGAAGAAGATTACAAAGATTAAGTGGAAAAAAAGAATCTATAAGACAATTTACAAGCCGAAAATTCTTTAAAGTCTACATCTTTCGACATCTCGATCTTTTATAATTTTTCTTTTTGATAAAAAAGGGTTTGGATCAAAATCCCAACAAACGGAATCCCGACAGGTCATAATAAAAAAAATCTCGACATCAAAAAATCTGACAGTTAAAAAATCCCGACAATTAAAAATTCTGATAAAAAATGTCATAAAACATAACCTAACCCTCATTTAAAGTGACCTAACCCTAAAGTAAATTAAATTATAAGTGTCTATTTTGCTTTAAACATACCCCATATTTTGGATTTTTTTACTTGAAAATTCTGATTGTCGGGGTTTTGGACTATCGGGATTTTTGTTTTAAAAAGTATATAGATATAACAGTCAGATATTTTTATATGATATAGAAATGATCTGCAATATACTAAAAAAACCGATTTCTATTTAAAAAAAAAGGCGTTTTTATTATATATCTAAAATAACAATCAGTTCTTTAACTAGGAAACCGTGGGATCCCTGAGGCTTTAAAAGGAGGTTGTTTGCCAAATAATAACACAGCCAATGATAAATTTCGTACCATAGAATTAAAAAAGAAATTTCCAATTGAAGGTCTTTTACCAAAAAGAGAAATGACCTGCTTTACACGAATTTGAAAAATCCCTGACTGTATAAATTTTATTTATGAATGACGTTTCTATAGTTTTACACAAAACGTAGTTTGTTCATTTTATCGATAAATTTGTTGTGCCAATATTGTTTACATATTGAACGTATCACCAAGACTACAGTACTAAACAGAAAAGTTGATTAAAATACTTATGGAATGATTGGCATTTTATTAATATCGATATGAGCATTTATTAGGTACGTAACTGTTATTTGAACCTGTGTTACTGAACTTTCTGCGCCCATATCTCCTTATATGTATTATTTCTTATTAGTACGTATAGATATCTTTTCTTGTAATGTATTATTCCTATTTTAGCATACTATAGACAATTCCTATTTATGATACATGTTAATTGGTAGAGAAGGCGTTGAAGGATTGTTTAGTTAGTCGAGACCTTGATCATATCATTGACCATTGAGACTGTGTAAACTTCATCAATAACTTCAATGACATTGTGTCTTAGATAGATTCCCCCCGACATTAAAGGAAATTCATTCCACGCATTCTGCTCTGCCTTGACTGCGGAACATCCTTAAAGTATATATAAATACCTTGTGTTCGCTTTGCTTATCAATAGGCTTTGCTTACAGATTATATTTAGAGGTTAGATATGAAGTATCCCTCCTTTGTAAATAAAGACTTCTGAGTAAAATCTTATTTGCATTATATTTCTTATTCGTATTGGCTGTTATTGAATTGTTATACATCGTATTAGTTTTGCGCGCATATTCATTCACCTATTGTCTCTATCTTATTGCATATGACCCACTTATCTCTTATATATCATATTATCATATACTCTATTCTGGTTTACTACCGTGAATACATCTTCACGATTCCTCTTTATATTAAAGTTTGCTTCATTTGGCCCTTATTGATTGTCTGATATCTCTTTCGTTCACTATCGCTGACCTAAACTCGGCCCCACTTACCGAACTCTCCCGAAATCCGATAGTAACCCGGTTTATTCTGTGCTCCTTGATCAGAATCGAGAATTTTATACAATTTATTATTGTAATTTGACAATGATGAGATT